TTTTCTTAGCGCCTTTGGCAAATTTCAGTAGTCGTTGTAGTGCTAATCAGTGCTCGATTTGCGGGGGAATTGTCAACCTGGTAGGATTGGCAACATCGCAAGTAGTGCTGTTTAGCGCTAGATGTTCCATAAGCTATGGCAGACAGGTGACGCACTCTCGTTTAATTGTGTGCTATTCATGTTGAACAGCACTTCTGAAAGTGTTACCACTTTGCCGCGGCCTGGAGTTAAAGGTGGCCATGGTACACTCTGCTTTTTCCAAAGAAAATATGTATTGATAAGTGATCAATATTTTTCCCAACCTTGTTGACGGTTCCCATACTGGACATTATCCGACTACCGGTACACTACTGGATGGGAAGGTAGCAAATATTCTAACTTTAATTTTAATTGTAGTCTACAAACGTATAAACCTACGTTTATCCAAACGAGTTTGTGATCCAGCTCGACCACCAGCTCAGACTACGTGAATGAGGTGCCATGAGGTAAAAATTATTTCCTTTTTTGTCCCTCTAAACATAAAATTGTTCTTAAAAACTAATTTTCTAGGGTTCAAATTACAAAAAAGGACGACGATGATCCAATTTCCAGTTTCCAACTTATAATTAAAAAATAACATCTTTTTTTTTAAAGTTATAATATGAGAGGTTGACTGCCTCTTTTAACCTTCCATATGAGTACAAGCGTGAACTATACTAATAAAAAAATGGCATGTATAGTACCAGGATCCAAACCCACAACATCGCTGCCTTGGGTCCGAAGTCTGTGACGCTACTGACTGAGCCACCAACAAACTCACTTTTTTACAATAGGTATTTGTTATTTTTAGATTATTTTGTAAACAAAATACTGGACTACTTTTTTACAGCGAAATATCATACCAGGTAAATGGCCAAAGTGACCAAAAATAGGTCTTACCATTTGGCATTTTGATATTTGGTTTCAGTTACCAGGATAACTGACTTTGTAAAAGTGTAAGTACAAATCCTTATGCAAAATGCGCTAAAGGGAGGCATAATGTTACTACTGTAAGGCCTAAGGTCTGTGAATGAGGAAACAAAATTTTAATTGTGGCTCTTTGTTAACTCTATTACTCACAGCATCAATATTCTCATATGATATCAAGGTTTTAATACTATCTCTAATGATTGAAGTTTTCCATTTCTTTACTAGGCCCCCTATGTTGCAAACTGTTCCCGGTCCCCCCTCAGTATTGAAATTGACTAATTTTGGAATGAATTTGTATGACATATTTGTGTCTCTAGAACAAGTGAGAAATTTTAATACTAGCACTAGCATTGTTTAAACTATCTTACTTGAATTTGACTTTGACATTTGTTAAGTTATATGTTGATATCGTTGTCTGACCTCTTTTTGTGACATTACAAACTGTAACAATGAATGAGCAGCTGTCCAAAGTAAGCAGCTGTTTTCATCAGTATTGCCAAAATTGGAAACGGAAATTGAATCACACTAAATTTCTTTACTATGTTACAAACTGTTCCATCAGTATTTAATTGACTAATTTTGGTATGAATTTCGAATTTGTATGGAATTTTTGTTCCTCTACAACAAGTGAGAAATTTTAACACGTTGAGCAGTATTCAAACTATCCATTTGTCATGTTGTTATCTGACCTTTGTGTGATATTACAAACTAACAAACTGTAACAATGAGCAGCTGTTCAATATCATCAGTGTTGCTAAAATTTGAAACTAAAATTGGATCACACTATTAATTGAGTTCGTTCAGTATAAAGTGTTGGCTTGTATGATTGATGGTTAAAGAGAAACAAATATGCTTATTTCAACTTGCATGTGGTTAGTTTGGAGTAAGTAAACTATATTGCAGTTTGTGAATTTACCATGATCAAATGTACCAAATTTATACATCTACAACTAAGCTATTAAAATAACACTAAAACCTCACTTTATTACTTTCCCTGTCTCTGTAGCCTACGGTTAGTAGGCTACATGTTAATCTTAATAATATTAAAATAAGGAATAAATGTGGCATGTTTAAGGAAATATTTCAGTGAAATTTAAGACAACAGAAATTTACTTGGTCTGCAGGTTTGCTGTATGGGGGTTTTAATTTTAGTTCGTACTGTGTGCGAGAGATGCATCTATACTAGAGATAAAGGCGGCCGTGGATATGCCTACCTACGCTAGCGTTTGTTTGCGGTTAAATCAGAATCAGAATGTTTTTATTGCCATAATAATACATAAATGTACAGGTCAAAAGTCACTAAAACTAAACAAGTAAAATCAGACCCATTAAAAACTATTTACATTTAAAAAACGAAGAAACCCTGTAGAATTCCTTATCAACTAAATATTCCCTTAGACCATGCTTAATTTTTTTTAAATCATGTTCGCCCTTGATTGGATTAGGAAGAGAATTAAAAAGACGGATAGTAGGCCAAAGTTCCTTCTAAGATTGAAGCTGTGGTGAGACGACTCTCTAATATGAAACATTGTCGATTTTTTTTAAGAAGGTCAAGGATTCAAAAATAAAAATTGATGGGAAGGTCAGCATATTATTTCTACGAAAACAGATCTTCAAGACTCTCTATATTTTAGGTTGAAGACTAATCTGGTGGCTCTTTTTTGCAGTTTGAATATTTTAATTGGTTTGAAGTTTGTCGTTTCCCCAAACAGGCACACAATATGTAAAAAAGGAAAAGGGGTAAACAATACCGTAATAAGCTGTCAGAAGGACGCGTCTGTCTTGATAACAGGAGAGCCTACGAAGAAGGAAAGCACTGGTACTAAGTATATTGTGAATTTTGTCGATGTGACTGAAAAACTTCGGATTGCTGTCAATGACTACTCCTAAATATGTTACACGAGAAGAAGAAGCAATGTTGATGTTGTCAACAAGTAAATTTAAAGATTCAGATGTGTTAAATGAATTCTGTCGTATACGAAAGTCTAAAAGTGACGTTTTCTGAGGTAACATGTAGAGAGTTAATTCTCGGATAGCCATTGGAAAACAAAATTACTCTCAATAAATGTTTGGATTTCTAGCTGTGTATGATTTGGACTGGAGACGATGAGGGAAGTATAATCAGCAAACAGATGTAACTTTTAATTTGACACTACATGAGGCAGATCATTGATGAACATTAAGAAAAGGACGGGCCCAAGAACGGACCCCTGTGGCACAACTGTACTTACAGTACGTACGCTAATCAGATATCCAACTTATTTGCCTCCGTCCCTTAACATATGAAGACATCCAATCCATAGCTAGGTACTCCTCGGATCCCCAATCTTTCCAGCTTATTTAGAAGTAGGTTGTGGCCAACGACATCAAAAGCTTTTGTAAGGTCAAGGAACAAACCGGAGACACGATTCTTTGCGTCAAGAGAGTTGGAAACCTCTGTAACCAGGCTGAACACAGCATTTAGGGTGGAGTAACCTGAACGAAACCCAAACAGATTTTTGTTGATAACCTTATTGTTATCTAAGAATTGATTTAATCTAGTTAAGAAGATCTTTTCTGTTGCTTTAGAAAATGTTGATAATATAGAGATTGGCCTGAAGTTATTGCAATCGTTCCGGCTTCCTTTTTTCTTATATATTGGCTTGACTATTGAAAGCTTATTTAGTACTGCAGGAAATGTTCCACTCTGGAATGAACATTAGATAGGCTAAGGGAGCGGCAAGTTCTTCAGCATATTTCTTAAGAGTTTTTGATGAGATTTCCCTTCCAGATGAGTTCCAGGTTTTAGAGATCGAATGACATATATTATTTCCTTTGCATTTAGTTGGAGTAAGAAATAGTGATGGTCGGATCATATTACCATCTCTACTCTTCTATGTGCATCGTTCTTTTGCATGTTTTGGGTAGTTTTCTTCCAATGTTAGTAAAGAACTCATTCATTGTATTTGCAACTAAATCCGGAGTATCCAGCAATTTACCATCTGAATCAAACACTGATAATTTACTAAACGGTCTCTTCAATTTATCTGGTCTGAAAGAAGGAAAAATATATACGTCTAATAACACTTATTGTAATAATATATTTACACTTATACTGTTGACTTACAAGACGGTAAATACATAAAAAAGTTGGTAAGTGGTGATCGATTTCGATTGGACACTCCAATCATCATCAGACCCAATAGGCGAATGTGCGAATGCGAATGTGCGAAATGTTAATTCACTTAAACGTGAATTAGAGGTCACCGTTTTATCATACGTGCTGTAAGACATATTACATTTAGTGACTGCCTTGCCCTTGCCCACTGCAACCCCATCTTTGCAAGGCTGGGGATATTCACGGTTTACAGCCATTACATCCTCGTATGCTCACTGATGATCCATGACCACTGCGACAAGTTTCAACTTCGTTCAGCGGTTCATGACCACCAAACAAGGCAGCGCGGGTTGCTTGATGTGCCCAGGGTTAGGCTGACGATATCCCAGAAGAGTTACGACACGGGAGCAATACAAATCTATAACAAACTGCGCAACTCAATCAAACAGCTTAAGCGTAAGCTTTTCCTAAAGAAGCTGGTCCCCTACTCAAGTCAAGAGCCTATTCCCTAAAAGAATTTGTTTAGGGCATTTTCCCAGAATTTTTTGACTGATCCGCCTATCCACATGCCAATGTTGTTAATATGTTTTTGGATTTATGTCAGTTTGTCTAAATGTATATTTCTGATTTTGAAAGTATGACGCCATCAATCTCTTTTGGGTTAAAGATCTTCATCTTTTAGATACGGTAATAGGTAATCTTTATTGCCTGCATGCGAACTATGATTTCGAAAAATATTTTAATCTATTTATAGACTACTTGAATATTTCAGTGCAATTTATTAATAATTGATTTACTATATTGTATTTTTATCAGGTTGGTACAACTTGTGCTAGTTCTAGTCAGCTGTTTACGCTAGTCATGTTTTTATTTCTGCAGTTCTTCTTCTTCTTCCTCGACCTGTCATTGCATTGTTTTGTTTTGGAATTTGGTTTTGGTTTGGATTCTGTTCTGTTGCGTTGCGGTTCAGCGGAATTGCTTGCAATGGAAGTAGGCTCAGCAATGTTTGTCAATTTTGTAATTAATTTTGGGGTTAACTTATAATCGAATAATGCTAACAGCAACGATTTAAAAACAAATTGATTTATTATTAGTACCGTAAAAATTATATTATACAGATTTTTTTACTTGCTTCCGAATATGGCGGATGACGAGGATTCTAAAAAGGCAATAGATATTACTTCCCCTAAGTTTGACCCATTTACAGCCCTATATAGTCGCAATGTTCACTTACCTAGCCCAAATGCACCGATTCTGGACAATATATCAAAGTTTCAAGAAACTAAAGAAGGAATATCATTTACAACGTTTTATAGAAATAAGGTAAGCTAAATGTATAAGTTATAGGCTAGGCCTAGTTGCCTAAGTGGGTAATCTTATAAAGAAGTGGTTTTTGGCCTAGCAATGCTTCCCAAATGATTGACCAGAGAAGGGTTTGGTCATGTGACAAGTATTTAATTTGGCAAATCAATTCATTTAAATAATATTCCTTCAACACACATTTTTTTAATCTCTCAACTAGCCTAAGTTACCTAATTAAGTTAGGGATGTTTTCAAAACATTGATGATGGTTACCGATGTTTTTTGTACCGTACATTGGTGTTTTTGTTGGGTAGACTTCCGTATCTGTTGGCACAAACAACCGAATGAAAATATCAATCAGTTATTCGATATAAATGTTTGGTTAGTTAGGTAAGGTTCACCTAACCAAACGATATATCGAATGAAACAATTGAATAATCGATATTTTCATTCGGTTGTTTGTGTCAACAGATACGAAAGTCTACCCTTTTTGTTAATCATCAATATTTTAGTCAAAAAGTTTGAAGTGACAATGTTTTTGACAACTGGATTGTATTGGCCTAGGCCTATTAAGTAGGCTATGATGAAAATTTTAATAAAGGCTAGGTCTGAACAAGAAATTCAATGTTTGTATTTAGGCCTATTCCATTGAAAGGCTGATGAAATGTTGAATCCTAAATCAAGGTAGGTACTGTACTTTCCTGGGTAAGTTAGGCTTACTTTCCTGTTAAAGGGAACATTCATTATTATCGATGATTTCTTTTCAATATAGCCTACAACCTAGATATTTAATTTTTCGAGTCAATAACTTATACCGATATTAACCCTCTGATTGTCCCTAGTTTTGGCCTTAATGTTTGCCTATTTTTTGCGCATTTGCAAGGTTTTATTAAAACGGATCTGAGAAGCTTAAAAACAATGTTAATTATACTGTTCTATATACCATTTTGTTTGGAAAATCATAGGCTTCAATATTATACATAAAACATATGGAACATTTGTTTCAAACAAATTTTTCAGGTAAAAAAAAAAATATTTTGGAAAATTTAAAAAAAAAAATAAGTTTGCGCTCAATGAAATTGTATAAATTATAGGCCTATAAATATTTGAAAATAGCCACTTTGTTCTAAATTTTATGAGGATTACAAATATATAATAATATAAGGAAGTAGATTTGCAAATAAATAAGTTATGGGCAAAAAACAGATTTCAGTACATAGCGTTTAGCTAAGAATGCATAGCCTAACCATAGCTAGGAATCTGGCTGATAATTTACATCAATATCACTACCTACTTCTTCAGGATCATCAACCAGCCCTTCAAAATCACTTAAATCTTCTTATAATGCACCACGTATATCACTACTTCTAATTTTTAACACTAAAACAATGATAAACGTAATAAAACACATCAGTTATCGGTGCGAGGTTAACCAAGCTGTTTACAAATACGCACGTCAGCTGTCTGCTACAATTATGATCGGCTCGAGAAAAAAAAACGCTTAGAGACAGACCTGGGGAGAAAGCTTAGAATCTGCCAAATAAAACGATACCTAACTCGATCCAGTTCAATCCGATTTTGTCAGTCATAGAGCCTTCGCCGTAAACAGTGTGTGTGAGTCGAAAAATCGACACAAAACACTACACAAAGTGTGTTATGTGTCGATTTTTCAACACATAACACTCAGAGGGTTAACGAGTTGAAACATCAGCTGACAACTACGATAAATATTGTTCACTATCAACAAACAATTAAAAATATATAGGTAAGTTAATTTTAACTTATATTGTAATGAAACTGTTCTAAACTAAGTTAATGTAAACTTAACCTAACTAACCAAACTTGCTGTAACGACTATCCGCAGTACTATCCTGATAATTAGACCAATTCGTAAATTACATGGAAAAAATGTGGTTCAGATTCCACTATAAACTGTAGGTCCCTTAGTTGCCATTAGCTGTATGGGCTATTAATTAACAGCTGTGTCTAAGGAACATGTCGGCCTAGTCACTAACAAGACTACAAGATCGCGCCACTCATCCTTCACTCATATTTGGGTTAAAATACGCACATAGTGGCGTCCCCATCTTAAATAATTGATAAAAACATTTCAAAATTCCATTTGATATTCCCCATGTGCCTTTTCTGTTATAAAACAACATTTTGATATAGTATTGTACAGTTTGGTTAGTTATGTTATGTTAGTTTAACTTAGAACACTTTTATTTCTTAATCCATTAACTTATAGGCTATATTAAGTTATGTTTGCCTTAACAAGTTTAGTTCTCAATTTGTAATTTCATTGCGTTTGAAGCTATTAAAACTGAAGGAATAGCCTATGGATCGTAAAGAAAATATTGATAACTTATAGCCTATCCAAAAGAAATCATTGATAATAATGAATGTTCCCTTTAACAGGAAAGGGTTTCTTTCCTGTTAAGGGGAACATTCATTATTATCAATGATTTCTTTTCGATATATTGGTATTTTTGTTTTCCTTTACCCTTGTTATTCCCTCTGTTTTAATATCTTCAAACGCATTTTATTTACAGACAGACAAACAAGACGTAGCAAATATGTCTAAGTTATACTTGGTTCAATAACCGAGTTATCGAGTTATAACTTAGCTCGTATTAGAGAATGGTACTTAATCTTGTTTAGGCAAAAATAATAGCCTATATTGATTGGACTAAGAAATGAAACTATTCTAAACTAACCTAACATAACTAACCAAACTTGCTGCAGGCTAAGTTACCGTTTCAAAATTCCGTTTGATAACAAGGGTACTTTCCTGACAGCAGTGCCAGATTTACCACTAGGCCGTGGCCTATGGCCGCAAGGAAAGGGGGGTCGCAAAGAATTGACTAAATAAAATCCCAACAAAAATTTTGTTTATCAATTAGGGATGCGATTGCAAGTGACGATGATGATCACTGCCCACAACAGAATTTGCGATTTTGTAGCGGTTGCTTGAGTCGATGATGATGGCCTCATGATCGCGGCCCACGGGAGATGTCCATGAGTTTACCGTGGTCGTGGGTGTCATTGATGATGTCCACCCCCGTAATTGTGACTAACAGATGTTCACGAATTGCTGTAGTCGCGGGTGACAATGATGATGTCCCCGTGATTGTAGTCCATGGTAGACATTGAAATGAAATGAAAATCCTTCTTTATCGATGCGAACTTAGGAACTTGTGGTCCTTTCTTTCAGTTAACCTTACATCTTACAGTTAACGACGTTCACAGGTTTTTTTTTACCGCTATCGCAGGTAACAGAAAAGGCATATGGGGAATAGGCTGTCAAACAAAATTTTGAAATTTTACAGCAAGTTTGGTTAGTTAGGTTAGTTTAAAATAGTTTCATTTCAACATATCTAAGTTAATATTTTTATTATTGTTTGTTGATATTGAACAATATTTATTTATCGTAGTTCTCAGCTGATAAATTTCAATTTGTCAATATCAATTTACCGAATAAAAAAATTAAATATCGATATATCGAAAAGAAATCATTGATGATAATGAATGTTCCCTTTAACAGGAAAGTACCTGAAAAACATATATATAAGTTAATCGCTTAAATAATATCAACTGTGTAATTTGTGTCTAATTAGGCTACATCCATTTCATAGATAATAGCATTTAGATTATTTGCAGTACCGTGACTTGAGTATTAAAATTTAGTTTAATATTAACCACTGACATAACTGTACACTTATATAAACTGAAAGCTCAAGTAGCTATTTGACGTTTTGAATTTATAATGGGCAGTAATAATTAAATGCTACGGAATAGTGAGTTTAAGGATACCTGTAGGCTACTTGGAGTACAGGCCATCCCCCACGCCTCGCGGATCAAACTGGATGTTTCAAGCAACCTCATTATCTACCTGCCAGATTTTTGGATCAGTTTGGATGTTAAAGAACTACCCTCTGACCACGGATCAGTTCGGACACACACCATGTGCATTCATTAGCTATAAGCCAAAAGCTAGGCAGAAAACAGAAGAAAAACTCAAAACAAAATAACATCAGTTTGTTGATGTTTTTGCCCCGAAAACATTAGCCTAACGTTTTTGCAGTAATGTTATCAGTATTCATCGATGGTTGACCCATCGATGCTCATCCCTACACACACAAAGACTCTTGATTCTAACAAAGTAAAACAAACAAAGTAAAACTTGAAATATTTTAGCTCACTTGTAGACTACTGTCTGCCAACATTTTTATGAGTTTATAATAATCATTAGTGTTATTCAGGATAGCGAGTTAAGTTATAGGCCTGGCACTTGATATCATAAGCACATTACAAAAGCATTTAATAAAAATAGCCATTACAAACAAGCCCGATATAACATAAAACCGCCTTTACACCAGAGTTATTAACAAATCAACTTGTTTATGTTATCAACTAAAGTTACGGTAATAACAACAGTTATTAACAAATGTTATTTATTTACCACATTTTTTCTGAGGTGTTGCCTTCCGGATTACTTAACCTCTAGATTAGTACCACATTTTGTTTGACTTGTAACTTTTGCTATTAACATTTTGCTACTTCCACATAAGTTCCCACGACAAATGTGTCAAGTGAGCACTGAGCAGGATGAGTGTAAGAATCTTGCTGTGGCTGCCTGTTTGATTTTGGCGAATCAGAGGTAGGCCTAATCAAGAAGATTCTGGGTTAAGTCTTCTCGTTCTCTTGAGACAAGAACTAGATGTGAAAGTGACATGTTACATTACCTTACCCTCTGGCGCTACAGCCCACGATGAGCCTTGGCCTCCACCACAATTTGTCTCCAATCTTCTCTATGTCTTGCTCTCTGTCTCCAATTCCCAATTCTCATAATTCTCAAATCCTCCTCAACATCCTGCAGCCATCTTCTCCTAGGACGGCCTCTCTTTCTTGTTCCGTAGATTTGACCATCCAGTAATTTTAGAGGCATTCTTTCATTACCCATTCTCACTACATGACCTAACTCTCAGCCTCATTGATTTTATCACTCTAACTACATCCTCTCCATGAATTAGATCATCCAGCTCCTTATTATTTCTTATTCTATATTGCTCCCCTTCTTTTACGGCACCAAAGATTCGTCTTAATATTCTTCTTTCAAAAACTCTTAGGGCATTAGCATCGGAGCATAGCAATGTCCATGTTTCTGCCGCATAGGTTACAACAGGTCTAATTAAGGTTCTATACAACTTTAATTTATTTTGTCTGCTTAACAACCTAGATTTTAGAAGTTTCTGGTGAGCAAAATAGACCCTGTTACCACTCATTATCCGGTTTTGGATTTCACTGCTTATTTCGTTTTCATTATTTATGGATAACCCAAGATATGTAAACTCCAAATTTCCTATTTCCAATGGGCATCCTCTTCGCCTCTCTTCTGACACTATTCATGTATATATTTCTAATGTTCTTGATGAATAAAGATAATTTGAATTGAATTGAATTCAGGGTTGCCACCAGCCATGAAAACCTTGAAAAGCTTGAATTATGTATGAATTCTTGTGACCATGAAAAAAGGCATGGATTTCTCCAGTGGACCATGAATTTTCAAAATCAGGAACAATTATTCAACCAATACCATTAAATATTCCAAATAAAAAATATTTCATATTTAAAAACAGTCTATAGAAACGAACACCATGAAAATACTGTTTGGAGATGATTATTTAACATGTTCCACGATCAGAAACAATTGCTTAGTTCATTCCAAGTCATCCAAAGATGCTGATGTCAGCTGAGACTTCCCGAGGACTGTATATGGCTCGAAAAATCATTAGTAGGCCTACCCCCGCGTTTGAAAAAGGGGAATGGAACTTAAATCACAACAACAGAAGTTTTATACCATGCACTGAATTGAAACGGGGTGCACAATAAAACCGAATTTCCGACTCTGGTGCCTAATTTTTTTAGCTTTTTTGATAAAACCATCATATCTTGTGGAATAAGATAAACCAGAACGTACATTTTATGACAATTATGTAAGGGGATAACAGGACTTTTTTGGCTGGTTGAGTGGGATTTTTGTTTTATTCCAGTGGAAAGACTGAATCAGACCTTGACTTAATATATTTTACAATTCTTCCCCAATATCTCTTATAGGATAGCTGGACCTGTTTTGTTTTCAATTTTGTTTTGAATGTTTATAATTTACTCTAAAAAGTTGTATAAAAGTAACACACAAAGAAACTGCCTCTTTAACATCAGTTTATGGAATCAGCAAAACTCAATTGTGTTGAAATTGTATAAGCGCATCGACCATGAATTTTTTTAAACTACCAATGAAAACCATGAATTCTGCATGAATTTTATCATCCCACTATGGTGGCAACCCTGGAATTGAATTGAATTGATATCTTTAAATATTTTGTTTTGCCTTCGTTTATGCACACTGCACAGTCCCATCTTTGAGGTCTCTTCATTTAGTTGAAAGTGACATGTTGCAAGATTTAAAAGATGATGACTTAGATCATTTGTCTAGTGAGTTAAAGTGTGACGGGGACTTCAAGAACTTCCTACGAATGGCTAGTTTTGACTTTGAATATTTGATTCAAATGTTGGGTCACCAAATTTCCAAACAGGACCCGAACTATCAGAACACAATACCAGTTAACAAAAAGTTGCAGTAACTTTTTTGAGCGAAGCTCACTTTCCCTCACTTTGTAACTTCTTTGTAAGAGCATCAGAATGTAATGGATTGACCAATTGATATGAAATTTGGCCAACAGCTAAAGAATACTGAGCACAATGTTTAGGTAAAAAATATTTGAAGATTTCCTTCTGGATTTTATTTTATATGTCACGCAATTTCGCTTGTTATTTTAATGTAAGTTGAAAGAAAAATTATATTGGGTTTATGACATATGGGTTTATCTCGTTTAATTTAAATAAGATAAACATATGTTAATTGTTTCATTGTTTGTAACTGTTTTGTTTACATTTCAATGTTTACTTTCATCCTAGGTTAGTTGGAATGTAACAGTTTATCAATGGAAGTAACAGTTTTGCTGTATTTTATTTGAGGAATGTTGATTGCACGAGTACATCCCGCTATGCGCATTTACAAAGTACAAGCAAATGGTCAGGATGGCCAGTTTCACTACAAAGGTAACATCATTAATGTTGAGCAAGATATTAATGAAATAGCATCTATCTTACCTATACACTGCCCAAAAACTTCAAAGTTATCATTGTCCAACGTCAAGGCGTCTTTGGCCATATCGATTTCAAAGTTCGACGTGAATACTACATCAAGCACTTATTTGGCTGAAGGCAAATAACCCAATCATTTTTGGCATAACCATTAGTGATGAAGCGCTACACAACTACCAGTCAATGATTTTGTTCACATGAGAGTACCGTGTGTATGTGAAAACCAAGAAAGTACTGATGAAATCGAAGAAGACCAAGTTGAAGAAACATCGGTGCCTATGATTGCGCTGTCTCGTCAAAGGGATCACATTCAGAGACTAATGTGGCCGACCGGAACACTGTTGAAAGGGAACATATTGTAGGTTGTTAGCTGCATTAGCCATTGACAATCTTTAAATAATGCTTCGCTCATTTATGCGTCTAAAGTGTAACGGCAGACCACCCTAGTTAATAGTGTGTTAGACTTATATTGTATCAATTGGACCTCACCGGCAAGTTTATAAACTTGGTGAGGCCAAGCTGTTGTAATTTTCATAATAAATATATTTGTATTTGTATTTTATAACTGACTCCATTCTGTACAAAATGTGCAATATGAATAAAGTTATTTTGATTGATTGATTGATTGACAAATTGTTACTGACAACTTGGACACGTTTTCTAAAAGCTATCAACAAATGTCATTAATTCCGGTTTAAACGCGGCTTAAGAAGTCCTTATCATTGTAGTTTGCTACGTAAGTATCAATAGGCCTAGTTATTTTGTAGGCCCTAAAATCAATTTTGTTACAATTATCAGTCTAGGCTACATATAAGTTGAATAGCTATCTTAGGATGAGGTCAAATTTTACTATAATATTCAGAAAATGGAAATCAAGTAAAAATATTCAAGTTATATTTCGGAGCACCTTGTTTCACAAGCCAAACCATTGGTTACATAACAGTGTAGACAAAATTTCAAAATTCAAACAGACAAAAGTCGTAGGATATGACCGGTTTTCTAAAAGTGAGTTTACTTTGATTGGAATACAGATTATGGGGCTGGCGAGGTAGGTAGTCAGTAGTTGTAGGCTGTAGGTTACTCCGTATTGCAATTGAGTTGGTCTCACCCATATCTTATCCTAGCCTACATTATCTTTTAGCACTCATAGTTAAAACTGAAGCTGTTTAATTAGGTTTCTATCAAAAGTATCACAGTCAGTATCGGATTTTTTTTTCGGAGATTTGAACCTGCAAACCTTACTGATGTGACCCAACTTTTTACACCCATGGCACTTGTAATTATTATATGGGCAATTATTAGCCCTGTGCTCTGGATTGCCACAACGAAAACACTTATTTATCTGAGACATATCTCCCTTCACATCACTTTGATTTAGATCCCGCACTGTGAAAATTTGAACCTCGGTTGGAAACACGTGTATTCTTCTTGACCTGAAACCTCGAAATTTCCTGAACACCTGTATTTGAGAATAGACCTGTTTGTTTCTCGGCCTGTTCAAGCCTGAGTGCAAGAGCCAACGTTTTCTTCAAATCCATTTCTTCGGAAAGTAATTTTTGACGAATTGCCTCATTTTTAATTCCTGAAACTAACTTGTCTCTCAGTGCATCCAATAAGAATGTTCCAAATTCACACGTCGAAGCCAAATGCTTCACTGCCACCACGAACTCTGCAATACTTTCAGATTGTTTCTGGCATCGACTACAAAAAGTATAACGCTCAGCGACCACAAGGCGTTTAGGAGAATAATGATGTTCCAAGATTTTGCTCAAATTATCATAAGATTCATCATCAATCTTCTTAGGAGAAATAAGATCGGTGAGGACGGGAGTTGGGACAACTTACTAATTAGCATGTTCACTCCGACTGACGTTCCACTCCGCTTCGCGCCATCGTTCCTCATCGGTGACGTCACTCAGCAGTGCAGCCAACCACACATACAAACTCAATATTCTTCCGGCAATGTAATATAGCCTTATATATTACACTACTAAAATAGCTTGACTTTTGTTTTATCTTTTATTTCAGGTCCAGCAAAGTGATAAAAGCCAAGCCTCAACCTCGACCTCAAAACCAAGGTTTCAACCTCATCAAGGTATCGTTGTATATGCCTATATATTCTATGATAAAACGGTGTATTTTAATCTGCCTTGTTTCGGTTCACTAACATTTTCACTGTAGCGGTTACGATAATAATCGAGGTAACCCTATTTTCTGCCCCTCGGAAAATACATGTGAGGCTTTAGGGACCTGCGCTTGACTGTTCTTTCTTATTGTCTCAGCTCACTGTACATCTAACAGTTTCCTCATCATACGTCCACATCTCCCTGCCTCCTTTACGGCATAATTATAGTACAAAGCGCACTCATCGATCTTCTATTTTACAGTTACTGTATAGTGTTTACCTTGTCGATTTTTTCTAAAGCTGTTCGTGATTATGAATTCAAAATAGAAATAATTAGTTGATGAATAATTTAAAGCTTTGAGTCTCAAATGGGTTTTAAAATAAATAAAGAATATTGACATTTTAAATTTTAACATGTTTACAATAGGCCCGTAAACAATTTTTAATATGTTTATGATGTGATAAGTCCCATGGATTCCCTTAATTGGGGGTGAGCTTTCCTGAGAAGGATATATTTTTGCAATTGATATACACCTGAGAGCCCTTATTTCAAGCCAGACTCTTAGGTTTATTAAACCCATTGACACAGGAATATTTTTTTTCTTAATTAGGCCTATTTTTTTAGGTAATATTATTATTTCATATCTTTGGTATGTATTTAACACAATATGTCCATATTTAACCAAAATAAAGACAATAAATAAAATCAGTACGTTCTCCTCTCCTAAACTACAGTAGAATCTTGTTTAGCCTACGCAACTCTAAATGAAACGACAACCTCAGTTACAAGAGCACTTTTGAAATCCCCTCATTAAATTAACCTCTATACCTACTCCATGAAAATTATTCATCGTCGATGGGCCTTGATCAGTAGCGTGTCTATTCATTGTGGTCTATGTCTTTATCGCATTCCTAATCTGTTGTTTTATCTCAAGTCCAATAGGATGAATTTTGTTCTTAAATCGATAACTGTAGGTCTACTTGATAGTGCCTTGGACTACAGCTACACAAGCAAGTCCTTGTTTAGTAATTTGCATGTACTTTATCATGTACCATTACTCAAATGTAGTGTTTTTAGTTATACAGTAGAACCTCACTAACTCAACAACCGGTAACTCAACAGTCAACAGCTGACAGGGCGCACGTAAAAATAAGCTATTTTCCAGAACATTTTGTTTTAATTTAAATTCAAAATTTAATATTCAACATTTCTTAACAGATTTTTTTACTCAATATGTGAAAATACTCATGTAAGTAATAAGTTTATAACATGTAAAAATTAGTCTGTTAAGAATTTATTTATTAATACCCATGTCAATTTTCTGGATTACTCGAACACCCTCAAATTCACAACCTCCGAATCCACAAATAGTCAAATTAGTGAGGTTTTACTATACTAAAATTTTATTTAATAGCTTATTTAAATTTGTTACACAATATTAACAGTAGCCTACTGCACTATACAGTATTAAAATTTGAAAGGAAATATGCATATTTTTTTGCACAAGTTCTCAAATGCATTCATTATACATATGGTCAGTGCATTTATTAACCTTGGTGACACGACTGTTGACCGAAATGACCTTGATAACATGACCCTCGACGACAAGAAGAGCAGCTCGATAACAAGACTATTTCCTAATTTCCTTAGGGCACTTCTTATCGTGGTTCTAATAATTTAAAAGAAGCAAAACAGGTGTTGTTAGCAATCCCTATTAAATTCACTAATTCCGTCAACTTCCACCCATGCTGTAGATCGTTTATTTAGGGTGGTCCCTCTACACTGGCCCATCCACACATTAGTAAGCTTATTATGTATTGCACATGTACGGGATTTGAACCTGTTCAAGACCTCAACGCTATATACTTGTCGCCTTAGCCAACTGAGCTACCAAGCAAACGACGGCCGACCGGGACGAGAACTCTATAAGTAAACGTTGCTACTAGCGCTCGCAGGACAGGTTAGAATTGACAAACTACTTGGTGCCAGTGTGGGTCTGCAGTATGGCTACCTTGTCACAAAATTTGGTGACGTGCTACACACTTGACTCCAGGACTACGGTTAAACTAACAAAATAACCTTTTCCTCAATAATCTTACATCTTTTCTCTACACAGTTGGAACTAATGCACCAATGAAACAATTCTGACATTTAATACCATAACCACCAGAGTGGTCTCAGCATACCACAGGTTGGGAAACGCTGACCATAAAAAAATTATGTTATAATTCTCTTTATTTCTTGATACATTACAGTCCTTGCTATTTATTTTAATTATAAGTTCTAACTAGCCTATAGGAAAACTCACACCCAGCATTTTTTAATTCTGTACATTAATAATCCGCTCATCATCATCAGTATAGGCTGATCTTTTTACACTGAATGAGTCTTCTGAGTGCATTCAGCGAGGTTGGAGTGGTTTTGGGAGAGTTTTGGGACAATTGACATAGGTCTGGGGTCCAAATATAAATGGCCTGATAAGTATAAATGGCCTGATAACTATCAATAGCCTATTGGACTTCGGAGGATTGTTCAAGGCGTCTTCACAGTGGCGTAGTCGTAGATTTTCCAGAACGGTACAGGAACACTCACCATCATCTTTAAAATAACAAGGGTGGTGTATTCATAAATAGGAGTTTTGGAAAACAGTTAAAATGCCATTCCCAAGTGTTCCTGCACCACTACACCACTTTGCCAAAGACAACAAAGAAACCTGGTAGTCTAAAACTCTCCAATCTGCAAGCCAAGATTCCTCAACTAGTCAAATTTACTTGCCTTGAGGGAATCTGATGATCACCCACAGCTGGCTTCATTGTGAAAAATATTCTTCAATATATATACCTTCATGGGCTTCAGAAATTGTCCTTAACCCACCTATGCACATTATTTATAGCTAATCACTTTTCTGTCATGGGGCATCAGATTTCAATTCGTGTCAAAACCCTTCCTCACACAGAACCAGATACTAACTTGGTGTGGATTTATACTTCCTCTCGTCGTTTTCAGCTGTAATGGACTAAATGTCGCATAGGGGTGGAAACCAGCTAGAATAGTAGTGAATAAAGTATATAACACCAATGGTCTCAAATTTATACTAATTTAACTGTCTTGGTCTTGACAAGATCAATGGAGAATCTTATTTATGGGCAGCCCTTCTATCTTCTGGAAGGAGCGGGCTGAGGCTTTAAGGTGCTTCATCCGGATTTGGTGAATTGTTGCAGACCCTTGCCAGTTGATGTATTCAGAAGAACACCTGCATTCTACCAATCAGTTCCCTCTCAGAAAGGCGACTCTCTCTTACCAGATTGCTATGAGTTGTCCATTTTACCTCAAGGAGCTCCTTACAGTTGAAAAGTAGGTGATCAGCAGTCTTCTCTTACCTGCCGTACTTCCTGCAGAGTAGGGTACCATCATACAAACCCATTCAATGTATATGCTTTTTCTGAACCCTCCATGTTAGATGATCAAATCATAAAATAAATCATTCCTTTCTATCTGATTCTGCCCATCAACCTCAGGGTCTGAGGCGACCAGTTTTGAATGTGTGTTGAGTGAGCCAACTTACACTTATAAGGAGTCCTGTACAATGTTCATCAGTTCCCTACGATAGAGGTGCCAATAGAAGAGATGTGAAACAAAGTTGGTGACAAAGCAATTATTGCCAGTCCGTCTACAGCCTCGGTACCTTCTAAACCAGAAGGACCACTCCTAACTCCTAGGCTAACTCCTTCTCAATTATGTCTAGAGGCATGACTAACTCAAACATGCTTGGATTTGAACTTTGAGAACACTGCTTGGATTTTGCTTGGATTTGATTACTGAGGCACCTAGACCTACTAATGATGACTGGTAGTGAAACTGTTAAAATACAAGTCTGTCTTTTAAAGCTAAATGACACCAGGAAAAATGCATAGTTTCACATAATGAAGAATAGACACCGCTCTTTATTCTGCGTCTATTTATTTTACTGCAGTAGGCCTCTCCAATAATAGATGGAAAAGTAAAAAAAAATCGTATTAATTCCAATTTCCATACCTAACAGTTTTAGAATTTTTAATTGTTTTTACCGTAAAATATTTAATTAAAAATATTTTAGATTACAGGCTTTTTTGGTCAATCAACAACACAAAATAATATGATCAAAATTACCTGTGTGAATTAAAATATTTGCATTTAAGTAAATTTACAAAAATTTAGGTACTTCTTCTTCCTCTTTGTACGTTCGATATTCAGACATTACAAGTCATAAAGTGAAAGGGCAAGCAGCGTGAACGCCTGCAAACCATTCGTGGTCTCACGCAGCACAGTTGTGTTATACGAGATAACGGATTCTAGGTTGAAGGCGTCGTTTAAAATCCATGTTGAGCGGTCACTGATGAATGCTGATTATTGTGAGTTTGGTTTACCAATAAAAATTAGGGAAAATGCATGAATTATTTTTAGGCATAATAAAAAAAGAGTACATTTAAATTAGAATTGTTTATATTATGCAATATACTGCTATATAAAAAAATAAATGCGGTATGTAATAGATTTGTAGCCTACATTTCATCACTAGGACATACGAGGCGAAGCCGAGGTCGAGGGGAGGAATAGTATATTTCATTACTAGGACCGAAAGTGGCATTTTCCGTCGCGCGCCTAAGTTTTTGTGTGAGGCGAAGCCGAACATAGGGAACTCCAATTTCACGTGCGAGGCGAAGCCGAGTATGTGAGAGCTATTTTCACGTACGAGGCGAAGCCGAGGACGGGAATAATGGAGCAAGTGCCGGATAATAACTTTCGGTACGAGTTATGAACGATACTTTTCATCACGACGCAAAAATACACAAACACAGAATAGCAGACCTCAGTATATTAAAACAATTTGATTTCTCAATTAATTTGATTGAACATCAAAATAAAATAAAATCTTCTAAAAAGAAAGCTACGTATATTTCTCAATAAATTTGGTTTAAACATCAAAATA